CTTCATTTAGTGATAATTTGTGTGATTTGAATTTACCAAGATAGACTTCATTCAATGACGATTCTTCCGGCTTTTACAGATCTTAATTTGATCAATTAAATTGTTTGTAATTACTTACATAAGAATCGCCGAATGGAACTCTATTTCCACTCGATTCGCATTCGCCGAGCACTGACGTCATTTTGATGTCCGCACCCTTATTTCCCTTTTTTGTGAATTTTAAATATATTTCATTTTCATTTCTTAGTATAAAATTCATAGAAAATATTATTCTTTGAGGAAAATTCTGAATAATTACCCGATATTATATTACATCCCTATGATCGACCTAGAAAATTACTGATCTTTTTGGAAGTTTTATTGAATTATAATTAATATATTTTTTCAGAAATACTTCTAAATATCTGAAAATTCGTATTTTCTAGTTTTATAAATTTCAAATTTACGTGATTTACTATATAACGACTAAGTCACGTCACATACCATAGTGATGGTTGATGTTGAGCTGCCATCAATTTTTCATTTAGAAATGCATCTTGTAAAGGTGCTGTATTTATTCATATATCACTCAATCTCGAAAGATGATCAACAACAACATTCTCGAAATGTTTTTTATCTTTTATTTCTAAGTCAAATTCCTACAACAATAAAATCCATCTTAATAAACGTGGCTTTGTATCTTTTTTATTTAACAAATATTTTAATGCTGCATGATTAGTATAAAAAATAATTTTAGCTCTCAAATATATGATCTAAACCTTTCTAACGAAAATACTATAGCTAGCAACTCTTTTTTAGTCGTGGTATAATTTAATTGACTATTGGATATAGTTTTTCTAGCAAATGAAATTACTATAGGTTTTGACTCTTTTTTTGTCCTAGAACGGCTCCCACTGCATAATTCAATGCATAACACATTATTTCAAAGGGAAGAGATCAATCAGGAGCTAGTAAAATGGTTGTCTCAATAAGTAATCTTTTTATTTCATAAAAAGACTCAAACATTTTTCATCAAAATTAAAAGGCACATCTTTAGATAATAACATGGTGAGAGGTTTAGAAATTTTCAAAAAATCTTGAATAATTTTTCTATAATAACTACATGACCCAAGAAAGGCTTAATCTATTTTACTAAATTCGGAGGTTTTGATTTAGATATAATATCAATTTTCACTCTATCCACATGTAAACATCTTTCACTCACAATATGGCCCAACACAACTCCCTCTCTAACTACAAAATGTGATTTCTCCCAACTTAAAACTATTTTTTTCTCTATACATTTCTCAAGTACATGCTGTAAATGATTTAAGCATTCGTCAAATGATTCACTAAAAATAGAAAAATCGTCCATAAAAATTTCCATGTATTTTTCAGTCATATCAGAAAAAATAGACAACATACATCTTTGAAATGTGGTTGGAACATTACACAAACTAAAAGACATATGTTTAAAAGCAAAAGTACCAAATGGACAAGTGAAAGTTATTTTTTCTTGATCTAAAGGGTTTATATAAATTTGATTATAACTAGAGTATCCATCTAGAAAATAAAAAAAGTTCCTTCTAGTTAATTTTTCTAGAATTTGATTAATAAATGATAGGGGAAAATGATATTTTCTAGTAACTGAATTTAATTTTTTATAATCAATGCAAACCCTCTAACTGGTAGTTAATCTTGTTTGTATTTCATCCCCATTTTTGTTTTTAATAATCGTGATCCCTGGCTTTTTTGGCACCACTTGTGTAGGACTACCCCATTTGCTATTGAAAATAAGATAAATAATATTAGGAGTTAGCCACTTTAATTTTATTTTTTTTATAATTTTCATCATGTTAGGATTTAATCTTCATTGTGGTTCCCTACTAGTTCTCACCCCCTCCTCTAGATATATACTATGCATGCATACACTCATATCAATATCCCTAAGATCATCTATTTTCCAACCAAATAGCCTTCTTATTTTTTTGAAGTACATCTAATAATTCTTCTTCCTATTCATCACTCAAATCAACTACAATAATAATAGGAAATAAATTATTTTTCTCCAAAAATATATATTTTAAACTAGAGGGAAAAGGTTTCAACTCTAAATTTGGATGATCTTCCTCTTTCTTTTCTCTCAAATTTATATTCTCTATTTCATCTAATTCTTCCAGCACATAGTCATCAATAACATCTAGATTATCAAAATCATCCAAAATATCTATGGTATAACAATCATATACTTGAGATTTCTTAAGATCATTTGATACCTCAAAAAATTTAATTTCTACTGATTGGTCTTCACATGAAATTTTTGTAATACTTGCGAGAAAATCATACTTAGTGTAATTTTAGGTTATTTAAAAATATAAAAATATTCTACCTATTGGCAAGTTGGTACTCAACAACTAACCCGAAGGGGTGCTGTGGTCGAGTGGGTAGACCTAGACCGGGGGAGCCACGAGCTGGGCTTGAGTGGTGAAGGACTCACTCCACGCACGTGTGCGTCACTCTCCTTCCATGTCTTGGTGGCCAACCAGTTGTGGGGCAAGGAGTGTCCATACACACGTGCGCGCGAGGGTGGACCACCTTATTGCCTTCTCTCAAGATGATCTCTATTGAGAGATCGTAGTTTTAGTTTATATTCAGCATATGTGTCCAACATATTTTCGATGTGGGACTAAACCTTCTCGTCTATTTCAGCATAGCCATCTAGAGTGCACTGTGATCTAGCAGTATTCAGCAAGCCACGCCATCAAATTAGCCAGATCCTGTAGTGGGCAAGCCACCACGATACTAGATGCATAAAGTGATCCATCGGCAGTTCACGAATCCGATGTCGCTTAGCATGCATGTGGCCTTAAAGGATGATTTGAGGACTGAGTCGTCGCCATGGTACTAGGAACCTAAGTTCACGACTAGCAACGGTTTACAGTGGGGTGATCTTGCATCGCTCAGTGCACCATGTGACCAAACATTTATGATCTAGCAGCTCCCAAAGCACCACGATACTAGAAACTTAAGTTCTCACACGTATCATCATTAGGGATATAAAGATAATAATAATTTATTATCTAGTAAAATAGACATTATTGATTATCTTTAAAATTCCGATGGCTGATGCAAAAACGACAATCCGTTTCCTCCCTCTTTTTGCACAATCAATGATTCTAGTGATCGACAAGTCCGTTCCTTCCTCCTCTGACTACACTCAAGGCCTTGGTGAGTGGTCAGCTCTTCCCTTCTCCCCTTAGACAACGATGACAGTGTGGTTGATAAGTCTTATTATCATGAGTTAATAATTAATAAATAATATAGTTTTAGTCTTAACTCATGATAAATAGACTTATAATTGTGTTAATTTGTGAAAAATGGTTTCTAGTTGGTTAATGTGATTTTTTGGCTAATTATATGATTTTATATGAATTTATATGATTTTTATAATTATGTTTTTGAGATAAATGAAGAAAAAGAAAATAAAAAAATAAGAAAAAGGGGGGACCGGCCAACTAGTCGGCCCACAAGTGGGTCGGAAGCACAGTTAGGGCAGAGCCACGAGTAGGGGCTCGAGCAGCTACGGACCGATGGGGGCAAATGTGCGCCACTCTCCTTCCACGTCACTAGTGGCCAACCGGTTGTGGGGCAAGGAGTGGTTGCACACACATGAGAAAGGGACTCATTGATCCTCAAATCTTGTATTACCATATATGTGTCTCCACATTCGGCGTATACCTGATGTGGAACTAAATCGGCGGTCATACCTTCCTCAAAATATTTTCAAATATTTTAATACCTAAAATACCCCTTCTTGATAATAGCGAGATATCATGTTGACGTCATTATATAAAGGTATTCGAGAACTTATTCCCTCTCTCTCATGTAGGCGGATGACCGACATGGGTTCAAATCCTGTTTGAGTCAAAATTTATATTTTTATTTGATTAAATCGTGATTGTCTTGCAGATCGTTAGTGAAGGATTAAGCCGCTAGAATCACTTGATCATCGACAAAAATCTCATCAATACGATTTGTCAGAGCATGGTTACTAAAATTATTGAACGATTCATGATAAAAGGATTGCGAATCCATTGAGTAACTCATCTTTGATTGATCGACAAACAAGCGTCGTCGAAAAGAGGACAAATCACCAAGAGATGAGTCGCCACCTCTTGAGAGCTTACCAGATGCGATAAAGAGCCTCCTCTTATTGCGTAGACCTGAGGATGAAGCTCCCTAACATACGTCCCACCTCCATCTAGCTCCTCTCCGTTAGGTGACAGCCATCAGAGAGTTGCAAAGTCACTATATTTGTGCTCCACTAGGTGATAGCTGTTGGAGAAGATTCGACGACTGACGTGACTCAGTCGTTGTATATTAAATCACGCAAATATAAAATTTATAAAACTAAAAAATACGAATTTTCGGATATTTAGAAGTATTTCTGAATAAATATATCAATTATAATTCAATAAAACTTCCAAAAAAAGTGGTAATTTTCCAGGTTGATCATAGGGATGTAATATAATATCTGGTAATTATTCAGAATTTTTCTCAATGAATACTATTTTCTATGAATTTTATACTAGGAAATAAAAAGGAAATATATTTAAAATTCACGAAAAAGGGAAATAAGGGTGCGGACGTCAGGATGACGTCAGCGCCCGGCGAACGTGAATCGGGCGGAAACAGAGTTCCACCCGGCGATTCTTACGTAAGCGATTAGAGACGATTTAATTAATCAAATTAAGATATGTAAAAGTTGGAAGAATCGTAATAGAACAAAGTATATTTTGGTAAATTAAAATCACAAAAACTATCACTAAATGAAGCGTAAAGTAAGTTGAAAGCAAGAAAACATAGTTCCGGCGTCGCGACGGTGATGCGTCGGCGATGCACCGGAATCCTGAGCGTTCGGAAGGATTGTCGTGCAGTGTCCACGGCCTCGAAGGCTCTCCTTGGACAAAAACGACGTGGGCAATCTCTAGATCTCCTTTCGAAGTCTAGAGATCAATGGAATGGGTCGTCGACTCGTCTCCGGCGGCTGTCACCCGACGGAGCGGAAAAACGGCGACTTTGCGGCTCTCTGGCGGCTGTCACCCGACGGAGAGGAGCTGGATGGAGGTGGGGCGCGTGTCAGGGAGCTTCATCCTCAGGTCCGCGCAGCAAGAGGAGGCTCTTCATCGCATCTGGTACGCTCTCAAGAGGTGGCGACTCATCTCCCAGCGGATCGTCCTCTTCCTAACGACGGCTTGTTCGTCAATCCATCGGAGATGATTTACTCGATGGATTTGCGATCCTTTTATCGCGAATCGTTCAGCAATTTTAGTAGCAATGCTCTGCGAATCGCGTTGACGAGATTTTTGCCAATGATCCAGCGATTCTCATTGCTTAATCCTTCACCGGCGATCTGCAGAAAAGTCACGATAATTAGATAAAAATATATAAATTTTGACTCTGGGAGGATTCGAACCCGCGCTGGTTGTCCGCCCCTTCTCAGGAAGGTGTGACGCGAGTTTAGTCCCACATCAGTTGTGCGCTGATTTTTCGGGCGAATATATAGTAATGTTAGCTTTGTAAGCAAAGTCCCTTATTTCGCGTGTACGACCACTCCTTGCCCCACAGCTGGCTGGCCACCAGTGACGTGGAAGGGGAGTGGCGCACACGTGCCCCTATCGGTCCAAGCCAAGCCGCTCAAGCCCTTGCTCGCAGCTACTTCCCGACTGAGCTTTCGACCCGCTTGCGGGCCCGGCTGGCCGGCGGGTCCCCCCTTCATTTTGTCTTATTTTTATTTCTTTTTCTTCATTTATCTCAAAAGCAAGACTGTAAAAATCATATAAATTCATGTAAAATCACATAATTAGCCAAAAATTCACACTAATCAACTGAAAACCACTTTTCACACTTTAACACAAATATAAGTCTATTTATCATGAGTTAAGGCTAAAACTATATTATTTACTAATTATTAACTCATGATAATGAAGACTTATCAACGACTCATTTCATTGATCTCTAGTCTTCACAAGAAGATCTAGAGATTGCCCATGTTGTCCTAGTCTAAAAAGAATCTTTGAGGCCATAGACATTGCATGACAATCCTCTCGAATGCTCAAAATTTTGGTGTATTATCAACACATCACTACCCTGATGTTGGAATTTTGTTTTATTATTTTTTAATTAGTATAACTTCCACCATTAGTTTTTGGACTTTAAAAGTAGATCCAACAAATGTCTAGGTCATTTATGTCCAAGGAGAGCCTTTGAGGATGTGGACATTGTTCAATGACCCTCTTGAACACAGAATTCTAACGATCATTGTTGTGAGACCGAAAATCTACCTTTCCTGTTTTCAACTTAAATTTTGCTTCATTTAGTGATAATGTGTTGATTTAAATTTACCAAGTTATTTTTCATTCAATTATGATTCTTTCGGCTTTTATAGATCTTAATTTGATCAATTAAACCATCTGTAATTGCTTATGTAAGAATTTTAAATATATTTTATTTACATTTCTTATCTAAAATTCATAAAACATCGTATTCTTTGAGAACAATTCTGAAAAATTATTCGATATTACATTAGATCCCTATGATCAACGTAGAAAATTCTCACTATTTTTAGAACTTTTATTAAATTATAATTGATATATTAGTTTAAAAATACTTCTAAATATCTTAAAATTGGTATTTTCTAGTTTTATAAATTTTAAGTTTGCGTGATTTACTATACAACAACTAAGTCACGCAAAATTTTGGCATCGTTGCTAGAGATGTATTACATAATATTTGGTATTTTTCTATTTTTCTCTTAGAGTACACAAAAAACAAACTCTCATTTTTATCTTCTTCTTGTAGAAAAAAAAAAAGGAACGAAGAGTAGCAAGGCAAAGACTAAAGCATACTGAAGGAGGATAATTGTTATTAAACTTTTTCTTCAAATTTATTGATTTTTATGTATGGTAGAAGATCCTTACATCCAAGGCTAGAATTTTTTTTCACTATTTCATTCAAAACTAAAAATCTAAAAGAAAAATTAATTTTGATGGATCCTAAAGGAAGTACAAGTCAAACTGAGAATAATCCTATGGTCATGAAAAATCATTATATCCTTGATTCATTTCAAAGGGCATCCAATATTAGAGTCCCATTAGCACCCATTGTTAAATTCGAAATAAATTCAAAAGTTTTTCAAATGCTCCCTAATTTTCATGGATTGCCTTTAGAAGAACCTCATTATCATTTTAAAACAATTCATATAATCTGTGATTTAGTTAATCTCCCTTAAGTTACACTAGAAATTATTAAGATGAAATTATTTTCTCATATATTTAGAGAGACAAAGCTAGTTATTAGCTACCCACATTAGATAGAGAATTAACTAGTTGGAAATATATAGAACAAGCTTTTCTTTGAAAACTTTACCCCTTAAAAAAAACTCAAAATATGGAAAAATATATATGAAGTTTTTTCTAAAGGTCAGAAGAAACTTTGTATGAGACATGAGAAAAATTCAAAGATTTACTTAGAAACTGTCCTCATCATACTATACCTAACTAGCAGCTCAATAGAATTTTTTATGATAAATTATTAGAATAACATAAAAATATGGTTGATTCTATATGTGGAGAAGTTTTATGGAGAAAACTTCTGATGAGATTTACAATCTTTATGGAAACTTAAGTGAAAATTCTAGAGACCAAGTCTCTTTTGAGTTATATGATAGGGATAAAAAGAGAAGAATTTATGAATTACATTATGATGATGATTCTAATTTAAGAAATGAGGTTAATCAGATTAATTAAATATTTAAAAAACTTGATTTACTTATTGACAATATTATAAAGTCTCATAACCTTCAATTTAATACATATAGTACTTATCCTATTATGTATGGTGAAAATGGTCATTTCAAATTTCAATATTATAATCAATCATTTCAGCCTAAGCAAGAGTAAGTGCAAGTGTCCCATGATTTTAGTAAAAATAAGGAAGATTTTTTTAATTCTTATAATTTAATTGGGGGAATAATTTTTCATGGAGAGACCCAAATAATATTCAAAATTCAGAAGCACTTTGACCCAATTCAAATTTTAAATTTCATCCAAAATAGGAACACATATATCAGAAAAATCAGCCCTCTCAAATCCAACCTGATTTTATAGATATGATATAGTAAATGAGCCAAATGATGTAACAAATAATGAAACAAATGATGTTGTAGTAAAAACAATTTATAAAGGTGTTTGAGAATAAGAGAGAAGAGGGACAACCATTGACATGACTTAGTCATTGTATAGTAAATCACGCAAATTTAAAATTTATAAAACTAGAAAATACGAATATTTAGATATTTAAAAGTATTTCTGAAGAAATATATCAAATATAATTCAATAAAACTTCCAAAAATAGCAATAATTTTCCAAGTCAATCATAAGGATGTAATATAAAATCTGGTAATTATTCAGAATTTTTCTCAAAATAATATTTTCTATGAATTATATACTAGGAAATAAAAATTAAATATATTTAAAATTAAGGAAAAAGGGATATAAGGGTGCAGACATCAGGATGACATTAGCACCTTGCAAATACGAATCGAGTGGAAACAAAGTTCTACTTGACTATTCTTACGTAAGTGATTACAGACGACTTAATTGATCAAATTAAGATCAATAAAAGCCAGAAGAATCGTAATAGAATGAAGTATATCTTGGTAAATTTAAATCACACAAATTATCACTAAATGAAGTAAAAAGTAAGTTGAAAGTAGGAAAATAAAGTTCCAACGTCACGGCGGCGATACGTCGGCGATGCACCGGAATCTTGAGCGTTCGGGAGGATCGTCGTGTAGTGTCCACGGCCTTTAAGGCTCTCTTTGGACAAGGACGATGTGGGCAATCTCTAGATCTCCTTACGAAGTCTAGAGATCAATGAAATGGGTCGTCAAATCATCTTCGGCGGCTATCACTTGGCGGAGTAGAAAAATGGTGACTTTGTAGCTCTCTAGTGGCTGCCACTCGACAAAGAGAAGCTAGATGGAAGTGGGGCGCATGTCAAAGAGCTTCATCCTCAGGTCCGCGCAGTCAGAAAAGACTCTTCATCGCATCCAGTACGCTTTCAGGAGGTGGCAACTCGTCTCCTGGTGGATCGTTCTCTTCTCGACGACGGCTTGTTCGTCGATCAATTGAAGATACTTTACTCGATGGATTTGCAATCTTTTTATCGCGAATCGTTCAGCAATTTTAGTAACAATGCTCCGCGAATCGCGTTGACGAGATTTTTGCTGATGATCTAGCGATTCTAGTTGCTTAACCCTTCACCGGCGATTTGCATGAAAGTCGTCATAGTTAGATAAAAAATATGAGTTTTGGCTCTAGGAGGATTCGAACCCGTGCCGGTTTCCCACCCTTTCTAGAGACGGTGTGACACAGGTTTAGTCCTACATCACTTGTGCGCCGAATTTTCGGGCGAATATATAGTAATGTTACATTTGCAAGCAAGTCCCTTTCTCGCGCATGTACGACCACTCCTTGCCCCACAATCGGCTGGCCACCGATGACGTGGAAGGGGGGGTGGCGCACACGTGCCCTTATCAGTCCATGCCGCTCGAGCCCCTACTCACGGCTCCTCCCCGACTACGCATCTGACCCACTTGCAAGCTCGACTGGCCGGTAGGTCCCCCCCATTTTATTTATTTTTATTTTTATTTATTTTTCTTCATTGATCTCAAAAGTAAGATTGTAAAAATCATATAAATTTGTATAAAATCACATAATTACCCAAAAAATTATGTTAATCAACTGAAAACCCCTTTTCACACTTTAACACAAATATAAGTCTATTTATCATGAGTTAAGGCTAAAATTATATTATTTACTAATTATTAACTCATGATAATAAAGACTTATCAACCACCTAGTAAACCCATAGAAAATTTAGGAAACTATTCAATAGTAGGATTTCAACGAGGAGAGTCTAGTTGGACAAATTTAAGAAAAGACCCATGAAATGAAAATGTTAGGATAGTGAATACATTGAGTGAGAGTATTTTACATAATCCTTATTCTTAGTTATTAGAGGAAATAGATGAACTATTAAAAGTAAATGAGAATATTAAGGTTGAAAATATAGTGAGGATGAATGAATATAATCATTTATTGGTCACAATTGATGAATGAATATAGTGAGGATGATGAGGAGAAAGAGCCCTTAGATGAAGAAACAACAGCTGATCATGGAAAAATCATTCAAATTTTAGTAGAAGGGAGTAAAGAGAGAAATGAGGAAACACATATTTCAGGTGAGGAAAAATTAATTGATTTAGGAGATGTAGGAGGCAAAATTAATAAATTTAAGAAAACTTTTGCTGCCATGAATGTTGATAGTGATGATGATAATGCATATCAGTCTTTGCCTTACTTCTCTTCGTTCTTTGTTTTTTTTTAAATTTTTTGGCAAGAAGAAAATAAAACAAGAGTTAATTTTTTTGTGTACTCTAAGAGAAAAATAGAAAAATACTAAATATTATGTAATACATCTCTGAGAATGGCGTCAAAATTTGACGTGACTTAATTGTTGTATAGTAAATCACGCAAATTTAAAATTTATAAAACTAGAAAATACAAATTTTTAGATATTTAGAAGTATTTCTGAACAAATATATCAAGTATAATTTAATAAAACTTTCAAAAATAGCAGTAATTTTCTAAGTCTATCACAAGGATGTAATATAATATCATGTAATTATTCAGAATTTTCCTCAAAGAATACTATTTTCTATGAATTTTATACTAAGAAATGAAAATGAAATATATTTAAAATTCACGAAAAAGGGAAATAAGGGTGCGGATGTTAGGATGACGTCAGCACCTAGCGAATGCGAATCGGGCAAAAACAGAGTTCCGCCTGGCGATTCTTACTTAAGTGATTAGAGACGATTTAATTGATCAAATTAAGATCAATAAAAGTCGAAAGAATCGTAATTGAATGAAGTATATCTTGGTAAATTTAAATCACATAAATTATCACTAAAGGAAGTGGAAAGTAAGTTGAAAGCAAGAAAATAGAGTTCCGGCGTCGCAACGGTGATGTGTCGGCAATGCACCAGAATCCTGAGCGTTTGGGAGGATCATCGTGCAGTGTCCACAGCCTTGAAGGCCCTCCTTGGACAAAGACGACATAGGCAATCTCTAGATCTCTTTGTGAAGTCTAGAGATCAATGAAATGGGTCGTCAAATCATCTCCGGTGGCTGTCACCCAACAGAGCGAAAAAATGGCGACTTTGCAGCTCTCTAGCAGCTGTCATTTGACGGAGAGGAGCTGGATGGAGGTGGTGCGCGTGTCAAGGAGCTTAATCCTCAGGTCCGCGTAGTAGGAGGAGGCTCTTCATTACATCCGGTACACTCTCAGGAGGTGGCGACTCATCTCCCGGCAAATCGTCCTCTTCCCGACAATAGCCTGTTCGTTGATCAATCAGAGATGCTTTACTCGATGGATTCGCGATCCTTTATCACGAATCGTTCAGCAATTTTAGTAACAATGCTCTGTAAATTGTAGTGATGAGATTTTCACCAATGATCCAGCAATTTTGATTTTTTAATCCTTCATCGGTGATCTGCAAGAAAGTCGCGATAATCAGATAAAAATATGAGTCTTGGCTTTGGGAGGATTCGAACCCGCACCGGTTTCTCGCCCTTTTTGGAGAAGGTGTGACGCGGGTTTAGTCTCACATCAGTTGTGCACTGACGTTTCTGGCGAATATATAGTAATATTACATTTCCAATCAAGTCCCTTTCTCACGTGTGTACGACCACTCCTTGCCCCACTACTGGCTGGCCATTGGTGACGTGGAAAGGGAGTGGCGTACATGTGCCCCTATCAGTCCTAGCCGCTTGAGCCCCTGCTCGCGACTCCTCCTGACTGCACTTCTGACCTGCTTGAAGGCCCGGCTGGCCGGCGGGTCCCCCCCATTTTGCTATATTTTTATTTTTATTTCTTTTTGTTCATTTATCTCAAAAGTAAGATTGTAAAAATCATATAAATTTGTATAAAATCACATAATTACTCAAAAATTCACGTTAATCAACTGAAAATCACTTTTCATACTTTAACACAAATATAAGTCTATTTATCATAAGTTAAGGCTAAAACTATATTATTTACTAATTACTAACTCATGATAATGGAGACTTATCAGCGGCCCCCTGCATTTTACTATATTTTTATTTTTATTTTTATTATCTTCATTTATCTCAAAAATAAGACTATAGAAATCATATAATTTTTTTAAAAATCACATAATTAGCCAAAAATTCACATTAATCAACTAAAAACCACTTTTCACACTTTAACACAAATATAAGTCTATTTATCATGAGTTAAGGCTAAAAAAATATTATTTACTAATTAATAACTCATGATAATGAAAACTTATCACCAATTGATGGTTTTTATTTCATTCTAATTTTTTTTTTAAGTTTTGTTTTTCTTGGAATTTCGTAGTACTTGTTTCTGTATTTGTTTTTTTTTTTGAAAAAGTGCAAGAAGAGGAGTGTAAGATAAACTGAAAATTAAAAATGAGGTTGAAGTGATGCCTTTTTGAGTTTTATCATTTATGACAACATTTTCAGTACTTTGCATATATGAATGCTTCACATGAAAATTATGTTTTATGCGAATTCTGTTCTGATTTTTCTATGTCATTGAAGACAATATCATTTTTAAGTTGGGGGTGAAGTATTAATTCTTAATTTATGCTATAGGACGACTAAGAACATGTGTTTGTATTTTTTTTCCTGCTCACTCAGAACAACAACTAAACAAAATTAGAAAAATTACAGTATCTATTTTCTATTTTTCTATCAGGAACAACAAATTGTCAAAAATAGCAGAGGAAAAAATAGCCCAAAATTTGAAATTCTAGGACCCTTTTCTCACATTTCAATCCCCTAAACATACATTGTTGAAATTTAAAATTACAGTCATAAAGAGGATAGTTTTGATTTATTTTTGACAAATTCATTATTGGTGAAAACAAAATTGTTAGAACTGTATTATTTACAACTTTCTTACATCATGATGTATGCTCTAAAGATTAAATCAATTAGATTGATTGATACCAAAAGATACTAGGAAGATTATTATTGAGTTAAAAGAATGATTTAATAACATGAAATGTTGAAATGGCACATGTTAGCGAGAATGCAGCCTTTCTGCCGTACCCTCTTGGAGCATCAGCTGCCAACCGTGGAGCAGCAGCCGAGGCACGGTTACTTTGTTGATAAATCTTGACGAAGGAACCGGGCAGTCGCCGTCTCTCTTCCTCGCCGTCTGCAGCACGAGCACTGGAACCCCCAGAAACGGACGCCACAGGACTGTACGATGGATGAGAACTCTCGCCGCAATTGTGTCGATACGTCGAAAGGGAACGGCAGCCCTCCACAGAGCATGCATGCCTCGGTTTGAGGTCATTTGTTTACCACCGACCGACCGATAGCGTTCGAGTGAAAAACTCGGGGGACCCCCCCCCCCCCCCTGCACACGCGATCCGATGCCCGGGGGGGGGG